CGCTGCGCTCATTTCAATCTCAATTCTCAACCTCCATTACCGTTTGCAAAGAACTACTTTGCTTTCCGATTCTTCATAGTAATTCCGTTTTCTTGAAGTGTTTCCTCATCTGGGTTTCTCTTCTTTTTCCTCACAGAGGAAGGGATTTTAGGTGGATAAAGGCTTTCACCGGAAAATGAATGTCCTGCCTTTCATCTTCGGCGTTTTCGGTGGGTTTTTGTTTGGATATCTGCTTTCTCTTTCACTGGATTTTGTTTTCTTGGCCGTCTCTGAGATTTACGCCTTCTTTCTTCCATGTTTCTTGTTTTCTTTGTTCACAGGATATGCCACGGGTCTCTTCCTCTTCTTGTCTCCGACGTATGTATCGCAAAAACTACTCCCCTTTTCCCTTTTTGTTTTCAGGAAAAAAAAAGAAAAAAAGAAACCCCATAAAAAGAGTCTGGTTTTTTCAGTTTCTTGAACACGTCAAATGGGTTCTTCTTCTCCTTCTTCCTTGAAGAGGAAACTCTCTGTTTTCCTCTATGTTTTTCTCTTTTTCTTGCTCTTTCTGTTGTTGTTTAAAATGGTTTCAATTGTACAGTTTAGTTTTCATTTTTCTTTTTCTCTCTCAAAAGATGATTCAGTTGTTAACTGGAAAAATCAGACCATATCTCTCAAATTAGAGGAAACATGCAAGCAAAAGTGAGACTTAAATATAATATGAGTTAATATGTATATTTACAACTAATTTTGTTGTCTTTATGATGAATAAAAAAAAAAAAAAAAAACTGGAAAATCTAGGTCATGATTCTCAGAGGATAACTTTTTTCATTTTTTCTTTTTTTTTGAATTAAATTGTGAAGGATTACATTTAAGAGGATCATCAAAAGCAAGTCCACAGAACAGTTCTCTGGCATTCCATACGTGATGACCTTGCTCAACTGCCTCCTCTCTGCTTGGTGAGTTTTCCTCATTGACCCAATTCAACTATCTAATTGTTCTTTTCCCGTAATATCCCTTTTGCTCCTCTCATTTTACCCTCTTTAGCCCTTTTAAACATTTTTCTTAAGGGTAATTTTGTAAATTTGATTTCTTTTTTGTGAATTTATCTTATTATAAACCTCGTTTAAGATTAAAAAAAAAATATTCCTAGATGCCATCTTATTGTAAAATAAAATTGAAAAATATGTGTTTTTTGTTTTCATAAAGGTCACAGGCATTATATGTCAATTTAAGCATTATTTTTTTTCTCATTTTTTTTTTTCTAGGGTTTAGAGTTATGTAATAAAAAGTAACCATTTGTATCCCTTAACCTTCCCTATTAACATCTTATGTAACTTGCATTCAAGATTTTTTATGTGGTAAACTTATCTTGTTTTCGCATCGTACATGCTGATTATGACTTATTAAGCCCTTTAATTAATCTAATTTAAGCTTCTTGTATAGCCCACGTTTATATGAGGCAAAGGAAAATCTGATTAGGATCTTGAGATTGTGGTAAGAAGCAAGATCTTGGCTTCTAATATTCATTTTTTATGTAACTTTTGTCAATAATTATCTTGTAATTTAATTAAGTTTCAAGGAGAATTGGAAATGAAACAACTAGACATTTCAATTCTGCCAAATCTCTGTAAAAAGCGTAAAATATAGTCCAAGAGATTCTTCTAGGCAACAAAGTAAGTCTTGAGTTTATATTACTTTATGCACTTCTTCTAATGTGGACCAGTATGTATCCTGTTTACAAATCATGCTTCTAACTTTTAATCGATTCAATTAACTCCGTAGGTATGGCCTTCCCTTTATATCCAAAGACAACATTCCGGTTACAGCAATCAATGGAACGGGAGCAGCAATTGAGGCAATCTATGTGTTGATCTTTATCATATACGCGCCGAAGAAGGAAAAGGCAAAAATTTCCGGTCTCTTTGCGTTTATACTTACTGCTTTCTCCGCCGTGGTCTTGGTCTCTATCCTGGCCCTCCATGGCAGCACCAGGAAGCTCTTCTGTGGTTTGGCTGCTACCATTTTCTCCATCCTCATGTATGCCTCACCTCTATCCATCATGGTGAGTTGAATTTGTTACTCTATTTTGTTGGATGTCATTAAATGAAAAATCACAGCATATATTTATCTTTAACATATAAAAAGGATAACAAATTAAAACTAAATTGCTCCCCATGTGTTTCTGCTGACATGAATTAAGGTAAAAGTGCTTGTCCTTGAGAGTTTTGAGATTTGACAAAGAAGGGTCTTTTTCTTTTCCTGTATATGCAGTGGATGGTGATCAAGACCAAGAGTGTGGAGTACATGCCATTCTTCTTGTCACTTTTTGTGTTCCTTTGTGGCACATCATGGTTTGTTTTTGGTCTTCTTGGTCATGACCCTTTTGTTGCGGTAAGTTCAATTTCGTTTTTCTTTTTGTCCAAAGTTTTGGTAGGTGAGAAAAGCTTGATTTCCATGATTAAGACAAAGGTATGCATTGAAATTAATGGTGTTATGTAGATTCCAAATGGGGTCGGGTGTGGACTGGGAGCAGTGCAGCTCATCTTGTACTTCATCTACCATAACAACAAGGATGAACCCAAGAAGAAGTCCGCGGCTAGCGGCGTGGTGGAGATGGGACAAGAAAATCCTCAAAAGGGCAAGCAATTGAATGGTTCACTGGTTGAACAAGTGTAATCGAGTTCATGCTGACGAAATATGGTCCAATCCAGGCATGGATCAGGGCATCTCCTCCAAGTTTCACTTCTTACATGCATGTTCTATATATAAGGTGGTTTTTTTTTTTTTGTTTTTTTGTTAGTTTAATGAAAATGCCAATTTAGATGCTTGCATAATGTTGGAAATTGAAAAGAAGAAGTATTTGAAGAAAGATTTATTGCTTTCTTGAATAATACTATATGTATAATGAACTTATATATAAGTATTTACAAAAAGAATATTATAAGGTATATAGTATATAAAGAAAATATTCTATGATATAAAATATTTACAATAAGTGCGAATATAATTTAAATTATTGTACTCACATCTTAACATCCCTCCTCAAACTCAAGGTGGTTGTGATGAAACCAACTTGAGTTTGGAAAGAAGAGTACGAAAGTGTCCAGGAAAATGAGCTTTGGTGAAAAGGTCTGATGGTTGATTAATGTAACCAATAAAAACCAAATGAATAGTTCCTTGTGCAACATGATGGTGAAAAAAGTGACAGTCAATCTTAATGTGTTTACTGCGTTCATGAAAGACATCATTATGAGCAATCTGCATGGCACTCTGATTGTCATAATAAAGATTAGTACCAGGTGGTTGAGAAACACCTATATCTTCTAGTAGCCAACGTAAATTAACTCTGATGTGGTGTCTCCAAGTGCTTGATATTCAGCCTCTGTGCTAGAACGTGATGGAATTGTCTGTTTCTTGCTATGCTAGGAGATTGAGGAATCACCAAGAAAAAGGCAATATCCAGTGGTGGATTTACGATTATTAGAGTCTCTAACCCAATCGGCGTCAAAGTAAGCACGAAGTTCAGGAGATGAACGAGTAGAAAAGTGAAGGCTATGAAACATGATATGTTAAATATATCAAATAATGTGAAGTACTGCTGCATAGTGAGTGGAGCAAGGCGTAGCCATAAACTGGCTAACAATATGAATTGCAAAAGTTATGTCTGGTCATGTTGTAGTGAGATAAATTAAACTTCCAACCAACTATCTGGAGCGAGTGGGATCACCTAATGGAGAACCATCCATGGATGTAAGTCAAACATTTGACTCAACAGGAGTAGATGCAATCTTACTATCAGTGAGTCTAACTTTAGATATAAGATTAGAAGCATATTTTGTTTGAGAGAGAAAATAATCACATTAGAAAAGGTGACCTCAAGTCTTAAGAAATAGCTCAAAACACCAAGATCTTTCATTTCAAACTTATGACTGAGAAGTTGCTTAAGATCATGAATACTTGAAATATCATCCCCAGTAATGATCATATCATCAACATAAAGAAGTAGGAGAACCATACCATGATTAGTCTTACGCATGAACAGCGCAGTATCATGAGGACTAGAAGTAAAACCAAATTCACTAATGGTGGTACTAAACTTGGCAAACCAGGCTCAAAGTGCCTGTTTCAAACTATATAGAGCTTGCTTCAATCGACAAACTTTGTTTGGAGGATGCTCAAGTCCAAGAGGTGGTTTCATGTAAACTTCCTCTACAAGTCACCATTTAGAAAGGCATTTTTCACATCCATCTGAAACAATTTCCCTCTTTTAGCAACAACAATAGTAATCAAACTACGAACTGAAGTAGGACGAGCAACAAGTGCAAAGGTTTCCTCATAATCAATCCCATATTCCTGAGTAAATCCTTTAGCAACTAAATGAGCCTTGTAACGCTCCACAAAACCATCAGATCGAGTTTTAATCTTGTACACCCATTTACAACTTACTAGAGGATTTCCAACAAGAAGATCAACTACATCCCATGTACAAGTTTTATCAAGAGCTTGTAATTCATCTTGCATAGCTTGCCACCAAAGAGGGTTATAATAGGCCTCTTGGTAGGATTAAGGCTCATGTAAGGAGGTAATAGCAGGAAAACAATGATAATCACAAAGATAGCTAGAAGGATTTCTTACCTAAGTAGGATGACTTGAAGGTGGATTAAGAGTCTCATTTTCAAGTTCAATATCAACAGGGTTAGATCCAACAGGTGATACAGAAAAGGTAAGGGAAGAAGACTCAACATTGTCTAATGTATTACCAACAGGCATAACATCTTTTATAGAACTAGGTGGAGCATGTGGAAAGGCATCATAGAGCTCATCAAATGTATCTGCATCAAAGTCACTAGGAAAAAGCTCAATAGAAGGGTTAGTAAAAAGTAGAGGTTATCTAAAAGATGACACCTGAAAGTTTGATAATGTGGAAAACATAGTATGTTCCCAAAAGACAACATAACGCGAAACTCGAAGTTTTTGTGACACAGGATTCCAACAACAATATCCTTTATGTGTAATCCCATAACCCAAAAAATAACATAATCGAGTTTTAGGCTCTAACTTATTATGTTCATGAGGTGGAAGAAGAACAAAATAAGCACAACCAAAAACCTTAAGAAGATCATAGGCAAGAGGAATACCATACAAACATTCGTATGGAGACTTATTATTGATGATCGATGATGGAATCTAATTACTGAGATAAATAGTTGTAAGAGCAGCTTCACCCCAAAATCACTCTAGACAAGAAGACGAAATTAGCAAAGCACGAACATAATCAAGGATGTGTCTATGTTTACGTTCAACTCGCCCATTTTGTTCTGAAGTGTAAGGACCAGATTGTTGTGTTAATGTACCCTATTCTTTCAAAAAGGATTGAAGTTTAGTACTAAGATATTCAGTGGCATTGTCAGTTCTCAAAATTTTGATAATTTTAGAGAACTAGGTTTTGACCATGATAGTAAAATCAGTATAAATTTGTGGTAACTTAGAGTAATTTTTCATAAGATATATTCAAGTAAAACGAGTATGATCATCAATAAATAACACAAAGTACCTAGATCCCCTCATGGTAGGTGTCAAAGATGAACCCCAAACATCATAATGTGCAAGATCAAAAGAAGTAGTAGAAAGAGAATGACTACTAATAAACAATAAAGCTAGTTGTTTTACAAATTGACATGACACACAATGCAATGATTCATTCGAAATAGATCCTAATAAACCACAAGAGATAAGAGGACAGAGTTTATCGATTGAGGTTTGTCCGAGCCATGAGTGCCATAAATGAAAAAAAGAACTATTAGTAACAACACAGGCTTGGAAGATTTGTTGATATGAAATTTTCAAAGACTCTAATTCAGCAGTGCAAAGTAGGGTTTGGATGAATCGTTCATTTGGAAATGATGGTGTATCCATTTTATGATGAGGTATATGTAGATAATTGAGCTCAAACAGATGCCCCACCTTGCGACCAGTTCTAAGAAGTTGTCCTGTCTGTGGATCCTGCACATGACAACCATGAGTAGAGAAAGTTATTTCAAGACCAAGATCACATAACTAACCAATAGATAAAAGATTATAACTAAGTTTTGGAACCAAGAAAGCGTTTGGTAAAATCAATGAATTTGTAGAAATATTGTCGATGTAACTAGCATTCATAGGGGAGCCATCAATAGAATAAATGTCAAGAAAACAATTATTTGGTGACATTGAAGAGAAATAACCAATAGTTGAAAACATGTGATTACAACAACTAGAATCAAAATACCAAGGTTTAGTACCTAGAGCAACAGATAACACAGTAAGGGCATTAAGAAGATTTAATATCACCTATTTTAGATAATCATGGTTGATAATAGGTTGGTCTATTGCCTTTTTAGCAATAGACCAACCTATTATCAACCATAGCAGCAGGATGAGTCACAGTTCTTTCAAAACTCACTTTAGAATTAATAGAACTTACAATACTGAAAAAATCTCCAAAAATATGAAGAAATAGATGCTAAAATCAAAATTACAACTCAACAACATACCTTAGAAAAGGCATTAGAATTGAGAATAAACAATCCAAACTGTAGGAGAAGAGAACTCAACGGCAAAGTTTCAAATTTATAATAGATTTGAGAATCCGACTCAGTAACCAAGTAGTGATAAAAGAAAAACCAGGAGTTTACTGCTTTGATACCATGTTAGAAATTGAAAAGAAGGAGAAGTATTTGAAGAAATGTTTATTGCTTTTTTGAATAATACTGTCTATACAATGATTTATATATAGGTGTTTACAAAAAGAATATTTTAAGGTATAAAGTATATAAAGAGAATATTTTAAAGTATAAAATATTTATAATAAGTGCGAATATAATCTAAATTATTATGTTCACATCTTAACACATGAGAACCCAAAAGACGAAAAAAGTGGGTTTCTGTCACCCTACATCAGGCTTTCCATCCGTTAAATCCTTGTGACGGATGCAATGAAATCAAATGCTGTTTAGAGATTGGTCAAGCTAATGAAGTAAAGAGAAGGAAAAAAAAATTGAAATCTAGAACCACGTTTATGTAACAAGCTTCAAATTATGTGTGGTTTGAAGGGGAAAAATGAAAGAAAACTAGAGAAGGACTTTGAGCATCATGGACGGAGGAGGACCATGGAGTTGTCCTGGTCGGAGAGGGGACTGGAGAATCAAAATGGAAGCATTTTGGCTACCAAATTGGTGGTGTCTGGTGGGATGTCATGATGGATTGATATTAACTGATTTACCACCGATCCAATTCTGTTAGGAAGTAGGGATAAGATAGATTTATTAAGAAAAGAGTCAAGATCTCATATGTGTTCTAAAAGTTTAATACTATCTTTCTGACAAAAAAACTGAAGAAAATCATAATATTTTTGTAATTGAAATGTTGGGAATCATATAAAAAAATTCTTATTAAAAATATTTAAATAATTCTACTAATAATTTCAATATTTTTAAATGTAAAAATGTCGTAATTTTTATTCTTTTTAGGGAGAAATTAGGGTGTCCAAAAACCTCACCACGTAGTGACAATCTTTTTACTTGGAAAGTCGGAAGAACTCCAAACCACATGTATGAGCTAGATCTTTCTCTTCTTGCAATCGGGAGTAATCATATTTTGAAGTTTAAAATCAGCTTAGGCCTACACTCCACATGTAATAGCCGATGTTAACACATATTGGGCTTGAAAGCATGTCTTACAGTGCATCAAATTTATGGGCCTGTTTTATTAAAACCAATATCAATTAAGTGGAAACCCACAAACGTGGTAAATTTCTAATAGTCATATCCTTATTTCGATGATTAAGAGAGTTAAAATAAATAAATAAATAAATAACGCCCAGGACTTAAACCGGTCAACAACGTAATTTCATTTTAGAAAAAAGATTTTGAGTTTAAATTGTGTTATATATAAATAGATTTAAAGTAATAAAAAAAAATTACTTTTTATTGAATCATCTAAGCAGAAGTGTAATGGACTGATTACCAATCTAATGAGCACCACTGGCACTCCAAGAGCAACATTAATGTGAGGCTGTCTTCATGGCAGATTGTGATAAGGGATGGCAATAAAAGGTAATGAAGTATGATGGGAACTATGATCCATCTACCCAAAACATATAAATATAAAGCCACAGGTATCAGTAGTAGTCATATATAATTGATACAAAACACCAAGTACAACTAGGAAAACAAAACATTAAGGAGTCCGATCCTCCATCATTCAGCTAGCAGAATTCTTGGTTCACTTCCCCAAATTCCAATAATTCCCATTTTGGCATCAGTGGACTGATCTTTATCAGCTCCAATCCATACAACCATCAAAATTTCTTCAAGGTGATGAGTAACAGGCAGACCAAGATATAATCGAGCTTCTTTTAAGGAAATTATGTATTTGTTTGGTCCACTTTCTAAGAAA